TTTCTATATATATTTATTATATATTTCTGGCCCGCAAGGTGTTTACGTAGCGAACATGGTTTTTAAATAATAAAGATAGTGAATGTCTTGCTGTGGGTCTCTTGTGTAGAAGAGAATTAGTTAAACAGAGATCTATTTTTGTCTACAGTCCACTTGAGATAAAAGATTATTTTGGTAAAATGTTTGTACACATTAATAAGATAGGAGTTTTCTATTGCCACCCAAACATACCACAGTTTGGGTGAGATTACGGGGAGTAATCTTCACTACAGACTGATAAGCATGTGTAGCGTGCTTGCCACATGTGAGATAAATAATTGTGTATATACACTCCATGTGTTATAGCAGATGCACTCTCTCTCATTTACACATTAGTCTAAGATAGGTTAAGTCATATTGTAATATTTAGTTCTTAAGAAACACATTTTATATTAATAAATTAGTGTGTAAATGCACCACAAACAATACAGAGGTGCTATCACTCCGCGGAGAATATCCGCGTAAGATCCCTAGTTTTTCAGTACTGAATTAAGTCTAGAATGATGTGTGTTAAGTTTCATGAAAATCGGTTCAGATTTAGATATAGCTCTCATATATATTTTCGCCCGATTTAATGTATATGGTGCACCAAAGTCCCTATATAACTTTCGATTTTGACGAAATTTGGCATAGCGTACTCAATTAAGTCTAAAATGGTGTGTGTTAAGTTTCGTAAAAATAGGTTCAGAATTAAATATAGTTCTTATATGTATGGTTGACCGATTTAATGTAAATGGTGTGCCAAAGTCCCTATATATATTTTGATTTACAAAACATATGGTGTACCAAGGTCCCTAAATATCTTTCGATTTGAACGAAATTTGGCATAGCGTACTGAATTAAGTCAAGAATGGTGTATGTTAAGTTTCGTGAAAATCGGTTCAGAGTTAGATATAGCTTCCATTCGATTCACATTTAAACAAAGGTCGTATCTTTTTAGTTCCTTCAATTTCATGTTAATGACCCTTCTGTTAGGATGCATCTTTTTAAAATACCCATAGTGGTGAAGGGTATCATATAGTCGGACCCGTGCGACTTTACTTCTTTCCTTACTGGCCTTAATATACAGGATTTAATAAATCCTGCGTACGCCCCTGGACTGATATATCCCATTTTCAATACGAAATACGAAATGGCATTATATGTACAAAATACGAAATAGCAATATATGTACAAAATTTGTCAGCAATCAAGTCGAAGAACCTTATTAATGCAAAATGGCTCTCCAAGTTGTAGATAAAAAATTTTAATTTTGAAAAATTCTTCTTGCTAAATAGATAAACAACAAGTTTGTCATGCGATAACTCCACTTGAACGCTGACTATATTCTACTAACTACTTTATTTCAGAAATGTTGAACTGGGTTACTTTACCAATTTAAGACACTAATCCGAACGATGATGTGAGTTGTGTAAAATAAATGAAACCCTGTTGAAACTGTAGACTTTCTAGTTGATGTCACACAGCAAAATAGAAACAAATTGTAACATATTGCTGTACATTGACCGACATTATGCAGTGCATCCTGAAACTATGTACTTTTAAGAGGAAATTTGAGTCAATTTCAAAAAAAGAAGATGTTCTTGATTGTGAGTATTTTACGTTTTGTTGGGCATAATAATGAGCGGCTACCACAAACAATAGGAGTATTCTTCTATATGTGTAAATAATACACTTTGAAGAAAAACAATCAAGATGTAGGCTCTAATGAAGTAGTACAATCAAAAGAAACTTTATCGAAATATTAAAGAGTGCTGCAATGTTGTGAATTGTTACGATGTTTGGAAACCTTTTGCAATGAATAATACAAAAAATGGCAACTATAAAATATTCTAACAACAAAAAGAACAGAAATTAAATATAGTATTAATTAAAATATTGATTAAAATGTTTTCGTTAGGTTATAGGATCACCTAAAAATTAATAAAAATTACTTTATAGATAAAATATCGTACATTTTATTAAATATTTGCCTCAGAAATTACAACAAGAAATTTCATAAATTCTGCTCGTAATAAATTTTGTGGTGAAATAATGAAGATTCGTTTCATAAAACACATTCATAACTTGCTACAGTTTGCCATATGTCAAGGGCATTTTTTCATTCCTTCATTCATTTTCTGAATAAGTTTCACAACAAATCAACAATACGGCGTAGCCTAATTGATGTTAAGCTTAACCCCCAATTTGATTGCCTACAATAAAGCATCGTTGGAAAAATTCCTCAAAAAACATTTTAGGGTTTCTGCGAATTTCTTAAGAAATGTACAATGATGAAAGTTGATGCGTGCTTTCTTTTCATCACCATTTACTTCAGTCAGCCGATTGAAGAAGCAAGATGAATCCATGCAGAGTTATAAAAAAAAATAACAACAAGCGTTAGAATGCAGCTCTCTGTAGAAATTCCAACGCCAAGGATTCGCCGTTTCACACTTTTTTTTAATGAAACCGTATAAATTTTGATGATGTGCTAACATCAGCCAAACATAACCAACTTTAAGCTATACAGACACGCACACATCATTCGGTCATGCAAGAAAACATATACACACGCACACGCCTAATAAGATACACGTTCATAAATGTTCCACCCCATTATCAAAGGAGATATACAAATAGATTCCGCTAAATGGAATAAACGTGAATACATTGCGAAAAAAGAAAATGGAACCGCACAAATTGTGCGTATAAAAGGATGTACCCCACGTCGGTGAAATGCGAAGAATTATATCGTGGAGGTATTATAATTTGTGGCACGTTTTTGTAACACTTTAGCGGTGTTGAAAATAACCAACAGCTATGATCAACTTTTTAAATAGTTCAAACAAAACAAAAAACGTTTGTTGTATTCTGATATAAAATAATGCGATTAGTTACCGGGGATTGAAAAACAAACACGACGTAGTTGAGAAATGTTAACGAACAGAAAAAACGCGAGTTAACTTTTTGTACAATGTGGAGCTTCCAGGTATTTGTAATGTGATGAATAATTTAAAGCTTGCTGTTTTCTAATCCAGCGATTATTTTCAAATACAATAAATTATTGTGAAAAACGTGATAGATGCAGGTCATTTCGTTTGTAGCAGTGAAAACAAGTTTCTGCAGAAATTAGATAAAAATGTGAAATATATCAATATAAGTTACATTGGTAATTTCCAGCATTAAAGCAAATTAAAACCAGTGGGGAAAGTAGTAAACTCGCACGGAAAGTAGTAAACTCGCACGACTATATGATACCCTTCACCACTTTGTGTATATTCAACAGATGAATCCTAACAGACGTCGCATTTTTGAAGGACCAATAACATGGAATTGGGTTCATAAACATGCCATTCTGCAACCTATACTAAATTTGGTCAGATATAGAGTCGCTTCCTACAATGAGACAAAATTATGTAAATCAATTTTAAGCAAATATCAATCGGACTCCCGTTGATTATTTATATAAATATATGATAAATATGCTATATCTAAATCTGAACCGATTCCTACAAGACTTGGCAAACGTTAGCTAATACTAATACAATACAGTACGTTGCGCAACATTTTGTACCATACGGCCTTACTTTGGGTCTTTGGTGCAACTTTTACTTAAAATCGTACGTAACTATATAAGTCTGAACCGATTTCAACAAAACGTGCCACACGAAATCTTATAGTAACTTAAGTACGTTGTGCAAAATGTTTTGCCAATCGGACCCACCTGGGGAGTTTGGTGCAGTATTTATATCTATCTTCTAGGTTATACTAACTTAAGTACGTTGTGAAAATTTTTTGACAATTTTGTGTAAAATCGGACGGAAATATATATGTAGAAACTAAATCTTAATCTGAACCGATTTCAACGAGCCTTGCCAGACATTAATTTATATTAACTACATGTCATTGTACAAAATCGAACAATATATATAGGACTTTGGCATAATTTAGATAAAATCGGAAAAAAATATATAGGAGCTATATCTAAATCTGTACCGATTTTCAGGAAACTTAACACGCATCATTCTAGACCCAATTTAATACACTATGCCAAATTTCGTTAAAATCGAAAGATATATATAGACTTTGGAACTGATATATAGACTTTGAAATCGGATCCGATTTCAACGAAACTTCACACACGTAAGGACATAGTAACTTCAGTACTTTTACTCGAATTATCTTTTAAAATCAAGATATTTGGTTTGGTTTTTGTTTCATATATGTTTTTTAACAATCGAATTTATTTGTTTCATATGTTTTGTTTTTGTTTCATATATATGATCCGATTTGTGATGTAGCAAATAGCTAAAGTTTGAACCTTTAGGACGAATTAGTGCACAACGTAGCCAATGAAACCTAGAATGACGTGCATTGGATTTTGTGTCGAGATCAATTTTGGTATCATATAGTCGGCCCGTCAGAATTTTGAACTTTTCTTACTGGTTAAATATACACTTTTCGATGAGTGGTATAAAGAGTTTGTCTGAGCCAATTTTACCATCGCTTTTAAAATACCATCAAATTTTAAAATAATACTATGCGTCCTGATATGAAGCCATTGTTTTTTAACTCAGATAATAAACTAAACAATGTCATTTTTTCTACTTGTAGCATATTCGGTACACCCTAGCATTCAATTTAACTCATACTTCTTTACTAGTATTTTCGCATATACATATATATATGTATGGGAGCTTTTGCTTTATTAGATTCATTTTACACGCTTCATAATGATTATTTTTTAATGAAAATTTATAAATGCGTGAAAAATAAACACTTCGACATAAATGTTCAAACACATGCTAAATTATAAAATCTGCAAGAGCGCGGTAAATGTTGCTGCAAATATATTAAAGAAGTTAAGACCAGAGCAGTAGTCCTCCACAGATTAATAAATGGATATTGAAAGAGAAAGATAAGTGGGAGCATCTTGTTGTTTTGTTGTTTTTTTTTAATTTGTTATTACCGAGAGGAAATACATATCAGGGGCCTAATGCTCGTACTCGATATAGAGTGAGATTTTGTTCGAAGTTAAATTACGATCCGTAGTTACTAATTGAATGATACGACTCGAATGGAATTATTCAAAAATTTATCGATTATTGTCAAAAAATAATCGAAATATCCACAATCGAAACATATGTTTTCATCCAAAAAAAGTAAAAAAAACAATTGTTTGCCGCTTCATTAAAAGTTGAAAAAAAATATGGATACGTGTTTTTTTGTATTATCCTCTTCGGAAGATGAGGACGGTAATAATATAAAAATAATAAGAAGACAAATTCGAGAACGTAGTGACCCCTTATCATTGTCAGAAAATGCGTAAGTATAATAAGAAAATGCATGCAAGTGTGGTGTTTATAATTTTTGCAATTCATTGCAGATTCCGTCAACGATTTAGACTGACAAAAGAAGCTTTTCGATATGTGTTATCTAGACTAGATTTCTCCGGACATATGACATCGTCCATTCCGGCAGTTCTACAATTGGCATCAACTTTATCACTCTTGGCCAGTGGAAGTTTTCAGCACACTGTGGGTAATGATTTTCTGATTGGAATGAGCCAAAGCGCAACCTGCAGGGTTGTCCAGCGAGTCGCAAAAGAAATGGAACTAAAGCTTTGTGCAGAACACATCAACTTTTCACCAGACCAGTCGGCTTTGTGTATGGAACATTTCTGTACAAAGTTTCGGATTCCTGGAGGTAAGAATATATTGACTTTTTCGATTCTAAAATAAAATAATATATGCATTTTTACATTTTTTAGTAATTGGATGTGTAGATGGAACACATTTTGGATTGCAGAAACCCACCGAAAACGAACACATGTTCTTCAACCGAAAGGGATACCATAGTCTAAATTCCATGATTGTAAGTTTTAATTAAATTTATTTTCATTACATATTAATATAGAAATCTTATTTAATTCACGAAGATCTGTGATCACCAACACATAATTACGGCGATACTTTCAAAATATGGAGGGGCAGCACACGATTCCTTCGTTTGGAAGCATTCCGACGAAAGGCGATTGTTGGAACAAATGTACACAAACAACAGCTTCAAAAACGGGTGGCTTTTAGGTATGTTTTCTGATTCATGCTTTAGTTAATGAAATACACGTATGTTTTGCTATGCAGCAGACTCAGGGTATCCTCTGGAGCCGTGGTGTATTACACCGTATAGGAATCCTGCCGATGGGTCACCTGAATCAAAATTTAATGAGGTCCACTCATCAGCCAGATGTATAGTAGAGAGAACCATTGGTATACTGAAGGCCAGATGGAAAATTGTTTGCCATGACAAAAGAAGTAGATATTCCCCTGTAAAAATGGCGTTATTCGGAAATGTATGTGCTGCCCTGCACAACATTTGTATCAAATTTAAAGTGCCTATGTATACCGAAAAGGATTTTAATATCGAATCTGTCACAATGGAAGTGGAAACATCTAACCATACACAACCCAATAAGATTGGTGAAAAAATACGAAATCAAATAAAAACATCTTTGTACCAATCTATGTAAAAATATATATTTTATTAAAAAAAAATCAACAAAAACAAAACTAATTCAATTAATACATTCTAGTGTAATTATAAATAAACAAAGCTATTCATTTCATTATTTTATGGTAGCAAAGTCCATAGTAATATACAGGTACAAATATACATTTTTTTTTCTTACAAATCGGCCTTTTGTTTCAGCAAATTCAATTCCAACGTTTTTATCTCAAGCTCGACCTTATTTATAGCCATATTTGACTTATGCTCTTCTTCCTTTATTTTTAAAGATCTTTCTTTCAATTTATATGTTTCCTCTTTAATTTTGAGGGACTTTCTTTTACAATCCATTAGAGTATCCCAAAACAACTTCCTTTCGCGCATCCCTTCATCGTGTTTTTCTATATTCTCTTTCAAAAGATCCATCTTGGAGGCTGATTTGGTACGACGTTGAGTAGATGAAGGCACAGTGGAACCAATGCTGCAGTCCATATCATTTTCTACATCCATCAGTTCTTCCTCGTCGTTTTCCTTCCTATCCACTTCCATTCCTTTTTTTGCACCAAAACTTTGGACTGAAGAAAGCCCCTCTACAGCCGCTGATAATCCTGCTGCTTCCAGTATCAGCTCTTCTGATTGGGTGAGGAGTTTTTCTTCATATGGGCCTCCACCTGTCTGATTCTTTGATGCCTTGTTAAAAGATAATTTCTTCTTAACTTGTTGTTTTTGGTCTGCATAAACCTTGGAAAGGAAAACTGTGAAACATAATTTTTCATACCACTTTTCAATATATACCTTTCGCCACAAGGTGACATTCTTTACGGGTGGTCCTGCTCCATTTAATTTGGTTGTTAACTGCTCCCACAAACGATTGGATGACGCTCTACCTTCTGGACAATTCGAAATTTTTCCTTTGGCAAGTCCCGGGTGGTCAGACATAAAATCTGCCATAATTGCCTTTTGCTTAAAATTTATTTTGTTGCAATTCGTGCTCCTGTGGAATAAAAGGCTGAATTATTATATTTTATTTATATAATTACATTTTTTAATACTTACATTTCGTTTTTCTTCTGTTTTGTTTTGGTCTCGACAGGTAGAATGTGGCGGGCAAAAACTCGAATAGTTTTATTCGACATATCGATAAATTTTATTCGATCACGGATACGGTAATCCAAAAATTCAAATTATCTATCGAAACAACTCGATATCGAGTACGAGCATTAGGCCCCAGAACGGGATATGGCTTAAATTTGTGCACTAATTCGTTGAATTCGCCATAAAAAATGTATACAATTAAAAACAAATTTAGCTTGACTTTTCTAATCAGTTGTAATAGTACCATACACAAATATATTTTCTCCAATATGTACATGTTTCTCATTATTCGTTCAAAGACCACAAAAATCACATTACAGCAATTTTTATGTCTGTATTCTCAACTATTTCGCCATGATCTGATTGGGATCCCTTTCTCACTCCGATTAATATAGCTTATATACCTGACCTATGATCCTTGTTAAGTTTGATGATTTTTATTTTTTCCGTCAAAAATAAAAGTCTTTTTGGGACTTTTATTTTTTCCGTCAGAAAATAAAACTCTTTTTGGGATTTTTATTTTTTCCGTCAGGAAATAAAACTCTTCTTACTCCCAAAAAGACTGTTATTTTTGACGGAAAAAATAAAATTCCCAAAAAGACTTTTATTTTTGACGGAAAAAATAAAAATCATTTTTAACAGTTAAAAACCAACGTTTATTTTTTCCGTTAAAAAATAAATAATTAAAGTGGATTTTTTTTATTTAGGTCACATAATAACAGTTTTTTTTACCTGATTTGATATAACTTATAACCATTACGGTCCCTGGTTAGCGGAATTACTGAACTGGTTGTTTTTATCATTACTAATAATGACATAAAAGGACCAAACATGATGAGTCGAACATTATCGATTTGGGCCAATTTTGTTAATTGCTGGTCACTTAAGATTAGTATGTAATTATCTGCGTATTATTCAAATTTGTGTGAGCCGATTTATTTAAGATATTCAAATATATGCATAGAAAATTAATAGTATGATTACTGTTGATGCTATAATTTCTCGTCATCGCGTAATTTTCGAAGTTTTTCTTGCCTATCTTAGTTACATGGGTTGGTATGACTAACTGCGAAAATTTCAGTAACATCTATTTAGCGGTTTTTGTGTCAACAACCAAAGGAGTTTCTATTTTCTCCATTTAGATTAATTAAATGCAGTGAGGAGTACATTTTCCCCTATTGTACCGCGCCAATTTTTATAGGAATGATGCGTATTTGCTATCAAGTTACTCAGACAAATTTTAAAGTGGGAATCTGTGACCTTTCTTAAGATATATGCTTAGAAAATGAATATTAGTTCAGATGTATAATTTCATTCCATCCACGCGAATTATATATAGCCTATATTATTTCCCTCGGATGGCATGATGTGTGGTAAAAATCTCAGTAATATCTGTTCAACGGTTTTTGAGTCTAGAAACAACACATTTTTATTACCTACATGTAGATTATTTAAGTGTAACGGAGAGTGCATTTCCACCGATCTTATGTCGCTCTGTTCAGCGGATTTGGCGTCTATCGGTAACATACAAACAAACAAATTTGTTTCTATTTTATATATAGATGTTATTCCCAGGGCATGCTAGACGTTCTGTAAAAATCTCAGTAAAATCTTTTCAGCATTTTTAGAGTCTACAAACAAAATATTTTAAATTTTCAATATGCAGATTTTTAAAATGCAGTAAAAAGTGCATTTGCGTTGATCGTACCATGCTCATTTTTGTACGGATGGTGTGTATTGACACCTTCGTTATTCAGGCAAATTTTGAAAACGGTATATAAAAGATAAACGCATATTACATGTTCAGAAATTTTGAGGTATGTTTACTATTGATGCTATAACTCCGCATCCACGCGGAATTTTAAAAGTTTATATAGCCTATGTTACTTTCAGGGCATGCCTCCGACATAAATTTTACTAGGTTAAGTAAAATGAAGTGTACACGTATCCAAATTAATCTCGTTAAACTAAGCTAAGCTCTTTTTAACGAATGTTCTTTGAATCGCCGCTTACCAAGTCATATTACATTTTTCATTACGTACGTAACTCATCCAATAATCATTTCCGATTTTGCATAGAGTCGTATTTTGTCTGCAGGCAGATTAAGTTCGAAGATGGGCTGTATATATTGGGGTACCCGACGAATTTTCGCTATTCTGGGGTTCTTGAGGCCGTTTTTTTAACTGAATTCACTGAAATTTGGTACATTGGGTACCAAATTTCCCGACGAAAAATTACAAATATAGGTCCACTTTTTCCGGTAGCACCATATAAAGGTACCCCTAAATGTCCGGTATTTTGGGCGCGTTTTTCAAATTACAAATATAGGTCCACTTTTTCCGGTAGCACCATATAACGGTACCCCTAAATGTCCAGTATTTTGGGCGCGTTTTTCAACCGAATTCGCTATAATTTGGTATTTTGCTGCTGTATTTTGTAAAAAATCTGCCTCCCAAAATTTATTAATATTTATTGAAATCGCTTCAGATTTTGATATAGCTCCCATATAGTTTCGCCCGATTTTATGTAAATTGTGCAACAAACTTTCAATATTTGTCCGATTGAGACAACGTTTTGTGTACCGAAAAAAATCCAGTTTGATGTCTTTGTCACTGTTAGATATATATTTTCATAAGATATATTTCCATAAATGATGTACAAAATAACCAAAATTTTTCCGATTAGAACGAATTTGTGTACAACGTACCTACATGGAGTTAAAAAGCGCTTAATGGGTTTTGTAAAATATATTCAGATGTGGATATAACTCCTATATATTTTCGTCTGAGTTAATGCAATTTGATAACCACATAGTAAAGGTTTCTGTTAGCGAATGGTACACCAATGAAACTAAGTCAGCGGAATCGACATGCAATTTTTTAGATTTCAGAGTTCATGAGTTTATTTAATTGGTTCAAATATATAATTAGATCACACACCTGCTATATATCCAAAGTGGTGAAAGGTATCATATAGTCGGCCTATTCTGACATTCGAACTTTTCTTACTGGTTTATATTAAAATATTTACTTCTTTGTTCCGCGTTGTCCCCACAGAGCCGTGTTCCACTATAGCAGGGGAATATTCTGTACATGAAATTGTCTATTTATACTCTACAAAGTATGAAATTGTAAAACGATTTAGTCATCTGTTGTAATCATTCTACTTTCGGAAGATATCGAGATAAAAAACTAGAACGTCAAGTTCGGCCCTCATTTAGTCCTAACGATAATTATTATTAACATTTAGCGTAAGAGAAGATATTGTGATACAAAAAAAAAAATTGGTAGGTTCAAGATTTATCTATATTGGTCCTTAATTAGGCGTAGCTCCTCATATAATGATAACTTCAAATGCTTGTTAATTCCTTGATGAATATTGGTCTCCCCTTAGGTATAACACCAGATATAACCTTGCCCTCTAAATTGCAGTATTTGGAGGATTTTATACATATGTATGTTTCGCCCAAGCATGCGTTATCCATATCGGACAACGGTTTGGAGTTTTGAAATTAAAAAACCCCTATTATAAATTCGTGTGCATTATGGTTTACAACAGCCATATATATATATATATATAGTATATTTCCACGTGGCGTTTGGGGTTTAGTTTTCGCAACGATATGCAAAATTTTGGACAAACATTGATTTTTGGTGCATTATTTAGAGTTATATGTAAATCTGAAACGACTTCGATAATACTTATCACATGTAATTTCAGTCTTCATCTAGTACGCTTTAAAAATTTCTTCCCAATTGAAAGTACCAAATGATCATATTCGGATAATAACTGCGATCTGTGCGTTGTTTAGTATAATATATGGGCGGATATTCCGTCTGCACCGCATGCAAAAATCGCCTCAAAAAGTGATTCTAAGTTATGAAATCGCACGAACTGATCATTATATCGTTTCTATATAGGTAAATATAATAAAACAAAACCATAAAAATTTCATTGTTGTACTAAAATATATTTCTTTTAATACTAATGCCCAATTTATAGAATGAATTCTTTTAATCCCCTTACTTCCTCTCAGAAAATATAAATGTACAACAAAAGTAAAATCTACAAAGGATTAAAAATTCCAAAATGTAATTGTATTTGATTAAATTTATTTGCTTTCAACATTCACACAAATTTAATAATAACTTCTGACATTTTACTATAATATGTGCTCTGTAGTTTACAATCCGTTTAAGCAATTTTCCATAATCTTGGAAATAGAATTACAGTGTTCCATTTGATTTGGGATAGTCACAAATGGTCACTCACACACACGCACACATATATCGCCCAAACCAAGCCAAGTACCACATATGTACGAATTATCCGATTATAAATTTCCTTTCAAGAATTGTTTGTTAACATAACCAGCTTTTATATGTATATTTGTTGCTCTGTACATACATATTTACAAACATATTTGACTCCTGGTAGTCAACATGATTTCTGCATTTTGCAAATGAAATTTCCATCGGCATAATCATAAAAATAAAGTTGTAATGTTTATTACTCTGGTATTCGACTTGTCCTCGACTAGATTAAGGATGTGGTTGGCTCTCTCTCTTGCGGTGACACATCTCAGATGGAATTATGAGTAATAAATTATTACTAGTTTAATTGAAAACGAAGCTTATGTTCTGGATAGTGTTTTTGAAGTGTTTGAAAGCATTTCGAAACATTGCCAATAACTATCACGAAAATATATGTGTATGTATGCACGCATTAAATAAAATGGCTAGTAAAAGACATGCGATTAATTTAGTAAATTGATGGCAAAATAAATAAAATTAAATTGGGAGTGAAAATACTGCAAAGAGTATTAATAATATTCTTAGAAAATATTTACCTAGATTATAGTCATGTAATATTTTAATTTAAAGAAAAATATAAAGTAATAATGTCGAACATTATATCAAAATGTGCAAGACATAATACGCAGCAGAATATGTTAATTTAATCATGTACATGTTCATAGCCCATATATTATTAGATATTTTTCCAGTGCGGTGCGTTGAAATCAAGCTCAATTTTTAATTTTTTAGTTCATAGACTAATTTTTCGACTTGTGAGCACGATAACTCTCGAAGACAGCAACTGATTTCATCAAAAATTTGCACATCGTACTTATCACATAAAATGGTCAACATTTTGGTGAAAAT